CCACCCAAACGGGCAAAACGGCTTGTGCCTCATTAGCACGACAACACACATAGAAGTAATCTTACCTTAACGCAACCAAGCAAATTCATACACCGTGCACACCCCATCTTCCACAATAACAACTCAATCATTCCATGATTTGCAGATACCCATAAAGTGTAACATAACCCGTATCCAAAAATTCCTTTACTCGAGTCATCCGATCTTAATCTCTGCAAGTCATATCTGATTCAAAATTATGCCTCGAACCGAAACTAGTACAACACATAACCATGCAATAAAATTGGTGATAGCAGACTCCCCCACTTGGCTCAAAGCCATAGATCAAAACACTCGATAACTCACAATACTCATACCTCATTACTGCCATAATACCGCAATAAGATTCAACTAAATCCTCCATAAGCTCGTGTAACACAAACCATCTAATCTCTCAAATCATCTACAATTCTTGCATTCATCCTCGTGACAGTCAGGTCAACTTTCTCAACCAATACGAACTCAAATCGCAACACCTATACCCACTGGTAGAAAAGGAATCCTCCATACAACATCATAAGGATCACACATCCGTAGATTACCGCGCAGGTGATAACCCACCTGATTAGCCTCAAACTGACATCTCTCTATCCCCTTTCACAGCCACGGCTACTATGCAATCGCTTAATCTTCCTGAGTCTGAACTCATCAATAAGACATGAAAATCTACTTCTTTCCTCAATTAAACAACATGAAATATCCGTCAACACACTCATAACTCGAGACAATACGTCATATCAAGATAGGAATTGAGCACCAAATAGTCCTTTTTACATCTCAAGCAAACTCTTCTCGTCATATTCAAACCATATGAACACATCCTGCAGTCACATCATATTTCATCATATAGCCATCTAACCAATCACCAAGCCATAAATTTCACTCATAGGGACACTACCGGACATATAAGTCCAAAAGCATATACTCACACAACTGAAATCCCCGTGCTCAAGCTACCATCACAACCCGGCCTCAAGTCCTCCAGTCTAACCCATCATCAGCACACAGAAATCATATCTCGCACCTCATCCATGGAATCACAAGCCATCGATGCTCAACTGATACCGAGCGCTCACATGCGCATACTAATGCGTGGAATGAATTCAAAGAGTTATGCTTCAAGCTGAATTAATGTCGCATGATAAGGAAAAGATGGAAAATTTATCCTAAATGCCATGTAGCCTCTCAAATATAGGTATAGACATCATCATACCGATCCGCAAAACTCTACTATACACTTGCCCATGACTTGTAGAACCTATGAACCTAGAGCTCTGATACCAACTTATCACGATCCAAAATCTAACTAGTCATGATGGCACCTAACCCAACCCGTTATGTAAGCCAATTAATAATAAATCAGTTCAAATGATATCTATTAAGAGAAGAAATGATAATACAACTGAACTATTATACACAGAATTTCCTAAGGACTGACAGTACAAATCTTGAGCGTCTAAGATTTAGAATTTATAAAGACGGTAAGAGATAAAGTACATCATATGTTTGAAATGTAAATGAACAGAATTCGAATCTAATGCTACAAGGACTAGTGATAGCCATAACTGGAATGCAGATACATCTTTTGATCCAGCTCCCATCGTATGTAGCAATATCAACATCCAACATTTGCACGCAAGGTGCAGAAGTGTAGTATGAGTACAACCGACCCCATGTACTCAATAAGTAACAAACCTAACCTTACGTTGAAAGTAGTGACGAGCTGGGACAAGGGTCAGGGTACAACTCAAATAACCAGCCACAGCTCATAACAATATAATAAAAGTGGTACAAGAAAATAACTCGGAGATAAGATGCTCAACTCGTTCACGGTTACGAAAAATAGGCATGATTTTCAAGTATAACAGTAAATCCCAAATCTTTCGCCGAAACACCAAAAACATATGAGTAACTTTGAAAACTGTGATTTTTCTCAAAAATCTTTCAACAATAAATAAGATGTTTCATTTTCAGATAGCACGAGAAAAATACATCTCTATGCCTACATGTCAATATACAGGTGAAATCATGAATGTCACCAAAATCGGGTAGCAGAAATCACCCATATCGGTTTAAGAAGAGCAATCCTGATGCTATTGACCATTTACATATACTCCCGTGTACTTGCTTTATGTGTGAGAGTTACCCTGTTAGCACGTGAGTTGCCCGTGCAGTCATGAGTCATCGCAATTGTTGGCACGTCAGTGGTCCATGTGGGTATTAGATATTGTCACTCTTTTGGCACGTAAGTCGTCCGTGTGGTTATGAATTGTAACATGGGCACAAGATGCCAAGTGATTAGGGTTCATGAATTGGGACTCGTGATTTGTGATTATGAGGTTTGGTACCTCGTGGAAATACTTGAATAAATCTGGTGTAAAAGCGCTGGTTCTTAATGAATTGTTACTTGTTTTCCTTTATTTGGTTACACCGGACTTAGATTGTGTTGAGCTTACTCTACAGCATTATTACCTATTTTTTTCTTGTTGCTAATTGTTGTTTCTAGTGTTTCATTGCGAGTATTGTTTTGTCTTCCTTACCAGGCTTAGCTTTATATTAACATTGTTCCCCCGTTAGTTCACCTTCATACTTGTTCAAGTTATTTAGTCTAGTAGGTGTCTTGACTGTCCCTCGTCACTACTCCACCGAGGTTAGTCTTGATACTTACTGGGTACCGCTGTGGTATACTCATACTACGCTTTCTATATATTTTTGTGCAGATCCAGGTATTTCGGAGTTGGTTGATCAATAGCTAGTTGTTCGGGTTTTGCTGCGGAGATTCAAGGTAAACCTGACATCGCATTCGCAGGCCTCAGAGTCACCTTCTAATATTGTACATGTACTGTTTGTTTCTATTCCGAAACAGTTCTATTTAGAAATTTTTCTAGCAAACTCAGTAGAGCTTATGACTTGTACTACTGATTTTGGAATTGTTGGCTTGTATGGAAATTTCCATTTTGAAACTCATAGTTGTTGGTTAAATTTTTCCATTATTTTTGTACGTGTTAGGCTTATCTAGTCATAAAGACTAGGTGCCGTCACGACATCCTACGGAGGAAAATCGGGGCCGTGACAATATTCTAGTTTGATTGGTAGTTTTCTTTTGCTAAGTACAAGAATTTATTTCATGTTAAAAATAATCTATTTTTAATTGAGTCCTAAAATTATTCATCACTATTTGGTTCAATTATCATCAATGTATCTTGGTAAATGATAGATTTCTCAAAGAGCAATTGGTTTGATAGTGTTATGTTGAAAATATAGTCTCCAGAATATGTGTTTGGTTGTGTATATCTCATATTTAAGGAAAAAAATGATAAATAACTGAAAAACCAAAAAATCAAAAAACCGACAAAAAGTACCACATTGTATGTTTAGAGCCCCTCAGTCTCAGGTTGGTACGCTCGGTCAAATGAGGCACCGGGTGGAGGTCTCGCCTCTCCAGGTTTGGGGCATGACACGGTTAACCCATTTTCAATCCGGATTAAATATGGGTCAGGTCGGTTAATTTATCCTTTTTTGCACCCATTTTTACCTGCCCATTTCCGATCCGATCCGACCCACCCTTTTGCCACCCCTAAGTATAATTAACCCCAAGATTTATTGTTTTATATAGGAGATAAAAGTGATATTTTTCAAAACTTTTCTCCTAAAGTCTTTTGAGCATCCAAAGGTTAAAATTGAAAATAAAATTTATTTAAGTCAGTTTATTATAAAATTAGATATATATTTTATATACCACGTATTTTCCATTTTATTTCGACAAATCAAACATCTACCAATAAAAGTATATTCACAAAATAATTTTATCATTATCTTATCCAGATATAACTAATTTGCAAACCTAACAACTGGGAGGACGGGTGATGACTATTGGTAAGATAGGTATTCTTTTCTTTGGACCCATGGAGTAATAAAGAGATTCTTGGGCATTTAAAATTTTGAACTGATGACTTGTGGCTTTGCAATTCGTTTTATTTGTTTTTCTTCTTCTTTTTTTCTCTTGAAAATTAAAATACTTATTTACGAGGCACAACCTATATGAAATAATTGTTTCTAGAATGAAATAAAGAACAAAAACTATCAATGATTACTTAATAAAATTTATTTGTTCTTACAATTACACTAAACTAAAAATAATATATCTTTTCAAGTTTTAAATAAAAATGAAGTAGTAGGACTAAAAAACTTAAGGTTCTATTGAAAAATTTTAAAAGTAAAGGACAAAAAGATTAAAATTATTGCAAAGAGGAATTGTCAATATTAGGTGTTTACGCCCTAATTTTGTCTTTCAAAGTTATCCAGCATGTCTTTTAACTAATGGGCATGACAAGTGATAAATAGAAATATTAATAGCTTTTTAAATATAGAGTGTTAGGTGAAACGATAAAGTAAAATCCCAACAATTATTCTTTAAATATTCGGTAACATTTATATGAAATGATGACATGATTCATCGTCCCTACATAATCTTCACCAAAGATTGTATGAATGACACAATTGTTTATAATCGCGACATAGCACACCAGAAGTTAACAAACTGTGTTTCTATAAATAATACATGAAAACAGTGTCTTTGAGCTATCCATTAGTTTATAATCTCTTATACTCCCTTCATTTTACTTTGATTGTCGATAATTTGACTTCACATAAAGTTTAATAAATAAATAAATATTTTTAAAATTTCTGATCTTGCATATTATATAATATTTGTATAGATATAAAATATTTGAAATTTATAATGTTAAACGTGTCGTATCGTTTATATGTACTTATAAAAGCTTGCGTGTCATTTTCCTTTTATAACTGTATAATAAGAAAAACAAAAGGAACATTTGAAATGCAATCCGTAGTAGGTTATGCACGACATACACGAGTTCATAATAAATTATTGATTTCTGTGAGGAAAAGACCTTGGGGTGGGGGCTATAAATAAGGCCCTTAATTGAGCAATAAAATTCAACCAATACACTTTCCTCTGTCGCAATAATTCTTAAAGTTGTGTTAACATGGCTGGAAATAAGATTACTTTTTTCATTGCTGCTCTCCTTTTGGCGATTACTAGTTAGTAGTTCTCTTTTCTTCTTACCTATAACATATGATATGTTTCTACATGTATTTGCATATTAATTTTGTATCAAATCCAATTTAACTTACTATTGATTTATATATATATATATATGCAGTTAATGTGTTCAGCGTTCCGAGGATGCAAGTGATGGCATCGCGAAACTTACCATTAAATATGTACTCCTACAATATTTTGGAAGGAAACCTACCGATTCTTGCACTTAATGACAGAGCTTGTCTTTTACCCTGCAGGGGAAATACAGACTGCTCTAGTGGCACCATTTGCAGAACTTGTGGGCCGAATTTTACATGTTCTCCTTAGGAATTAATTATAAAGAAATTCCTATGCTTATGTTGTTTTCCTTTTTCATGTTCCGCTTTCCATCTTTATGTTGTTATAATATAATAAGGGGTAAGTAAAATTATTTTAAACTCCAAACCGGTAGCAGGGACTCCAACATCCCTCTTTTGGTTACGTTGTTTTATGATATATCATGTGTATTCAGTTGCAATATATAGTAACAATGATGAGTGTATTGAGTATATATGCAGCATGTGCTTCTCCTTTTACTATCTTCCCCTTTCTGCTCTTCTTTCCTGCATCATGGTCTTAAAAACACGAGAAAAAAATAAGAAGAAGAAAAGTTTTGACATGAATATCCTTGAAGAGATATTGTCGATATACTAGTATTTGGTAAAATTTAGGCAAGTCTCTTCAGGATCAACAAGTCTTCGTATATAGTACAGATTGACTTAATTAATTCTTTAAAGAGGTATGAATTTATAGAGTTTCAGAGGAGTCTATTCTGAATAGTTGTATCATTTCATCATAATTCATACATGTTCTTTCAAACTTAAACTTGTCTTTATATTTAAAGGGGAAAAGGGAAAACAATGTCACTCAACTATGAGAAATGGAGCACCTTTGTCCTTATTTGAAATTTGGTTCTAAATATGTCCGTATCATTTGTCCTCCGTTTGACTTTTGTCCCAAATATACCCTTATCATGAGTGGATTATCTCATATTTTTTCCTCAAATTAACGGACTATCAACTTCTTAGTTTTACCTATTTAAAATATATTTATCGGAAAAGGGCCAAAAAAATATCACGACCCAAAATTCCAACAAAGGGATCGTGATGGCACCTAACACTGCTTGCTAGGCAGGCCAATACTTAACAATAATAGAGGAAGCAAGACTAACATATAATTGCATAATATCATAAATAAAGGCAAAAGCTCTGTTAAACATAATAATTCTAAACCGAATATTGTCTAATCAACTGTCACGATCCAAAATCTCACCCGTTGTGATGGCGCCTATCTCAATACTAGGCAAGCCAACAATCTCAATAAATCACATATTCTTTAAATTTGAAAACATAATGATTAAATTCAGCGGAAGAAATCTCACAAGTACAAATATAATTACTCCCAAAACTCGGTGTCACTGAGTACATGAGTATCTAATCTGAATATAAATCTGGAAAATACTGCCTATAATAGTCCGAGACCAAATACAGTAAACAAGGAGATAGGGAAGGAGAGACAAGGTCTGCGAAACACGGCAGCTACCTCTGAATCTCCAAAAAATCAATTGCGCGAAAGAATCAACACCCGCTATGTCTGGGAACACCTGGATCTGCACACGAAGTGTAGGGTGTAGTATGAATACAACCAACTCAGTAAGTAACAATAATAATTAAAGAACTGAAGATAGTGACGAGCTACACAATTATAGTTCATTTTCAGTAATTCCAGAATAGAATAGACATGCTTTCAAATCCGGCAGTTTAAGTCAAATCAATTTTATACAGTTCATGTAATCCGGATATAGAATCTTGCAGGAATTTCACAACAACAACAGATAGCAACTAAGTGCATCAACAAATGAAAAGTAAGTACAGCCTCTCAGGACAACAATCACTCACTGGGATCCCAGCCCTCAGCACGCATACTCAATGGGTACCCGCGCTCACTGGGGGTGTACAGACACCGAAGAGGCTCCTACAGCCCAAGCACCACAATCCGCACGGACAACTCACGTACTGCACGGACAACTCTCGTGCTATAATATCCTGCACGGACAACTCACGTGCCATAATATCCTTACCTCACCAACAGGCCCTCGGCCTTACTCGGTCCTCAACCTCTCTAGTCTCTCGAGCTCTCGAAAATCACAAAGATCAGCCCAAACAAAGATAACATAGTGTATCAACAAATATCAAGAAAGACTGAGGTATGATACGCAAGTAAAATCATGACCGAGTACAAGACAATAATTAGCAAATAATTCAATAAGTACGCGACCTCTGTGGGTCCCCAACAGTACTATCACATAGCCTAAGCATGATTATTTTTTAAACATGATTTACAGTCAAATTTTATTCAACACATAGAGAGCATATAGCTAACAACAAGTTATTCAACTTTACAATTTCACGGGATGGACCAAGTTACAATCCCCTCGGTGCACGCCCACACGCCCGTCACCTAGCATGTGTGTCACCTCCAAAATAATCACATGATACAAAAATTTCGGGTTTCATACCCTCAGGACCAGATTTATAATTGTTACTTACCTCAAACCGTGAAATTCTTTTTCTGCAATGCCTTTGCCTCGCAATTCGGCCTCCAAATGCCTCAAATCTAGTCACAAATAATTTGTTTCACTCAATAAAATTTATTAAAATTAATTTCATAAGAAAATGCTAATTTTTTCATTAAAATCCAAAATTTTAGCTCAAAAATTGTCTGTGGGGCCCACGCCTCGGAACCCAACAAAAGTTACAAAATCCGAAAGCTCGTTCAACCACGAGTCTAACCATACCAATTTTACCAAAATCCAACCTCAACTCGACACTCAAATCTTCAAATTAAACCTCGAGGGTTTTCCAAAATTTTTAACTTAATTCACCCATTAAATAATGGATTGAAAGGCATAATCATGGAAATTAATCAAAATTGGATAAGAATCACTTACCCCAAACACCCATACAAGAATCTCTCCAAAAATCGCCTTCTATCGAGCTCTCAATTCAATTTTGTGTTATGAACTCAAAACCCCCATTTTGGGACTTTTAATTCTGACCAGATATGCCTTCATCGCGAACGCGGAAAGAGCCTCACATTCGCGAAGCACAAACTCGACTGCCCAGAATTTAACCCTTCGCGAACGCGACCATGGCTTCGCGATGCGAACCTTTACCAATCTCACCCTTCGCGAACGCGACCATGGATTCGCGAACGCGAAGCTTTACCAATCTCACCCTTCGAGAACACGACCCCTGCCCCGCGAACGCGTAGATCACAGGCCTGGGGTCCCCAGTTACCTCACTCCTCTTTGCGAACGCGACACCACTCCCGTGTTCGCGATGCACACACAGATCACACCTTCGCGAAAGTGTTCGCATCTTCGCGAACGCGAAGAACAAATCTAGTTGGCCTCTCAAATGCTTTACGCAATCGTGAGACATCTCTCGCGAACGCGATGAAGAAAAGTCTGCAACAAAAACACCAAAAATCCGCTATCTCTCCTAAGTCCAAAATGATCCGTTAATCACCCGAATTCAACTCGAGGCCCCCGGGACCTCAACCAAATATATCTACAAGTCCTAAAACATCATACGAACTTAGTCGAGTCTTCAAATCACATCCAACAACACAAAAAACACGAATCACACATAGACTTAAGCCTAATGAACTTTGAAACTTCCAATTTCTACAAATAACGCCGAAACCTAACAAATCACATCCGATTGACCTCAAATTTTGCACACAAGTCATAAATAACATAACGGAGGTATTCAAATTTTTAGAATCGGATTTCGACCCCGATATCAAAAAGTCAACCCCCCGGTCAAACTTCCTATAAATTCGATTTTCGCCATTTTGAGCCTAATTCCACTACGGACCTCCAAATAATTTTCCGGACACGCTCCTAAGTCTAAAATACCATACGGAGCTATTAGAATTATCAGAATTTAAATTCGAGGTCGTTTATACATAAGTCCACATCCGGTCAACTTTTCTAACTTAAATTTTCAATTATGAGACTAAGTGTCTCGTTTCATTCTGAATTCTCTCCGGACCCGAACTAGTTAACCCGATAAGTCATACAACAACTATAAAGCATAAATTGAGCAATGAATGGAGGAACGGGGCTGTAATACTCAAAACGACCGGCCGGGTCGTTACATCTTCCCCCACTTAAACATATGTTCATCCGCGAACGTGCCAAGAGTTATTTCCAAGCCATCAAATCACTATTCCACATCACCACGTACGTACCCGGGGGTGATCCCACGTCACCCTATTCCACGTAGGCCTGACAGCACAATACAACTGAAAATCCTTAATTTAACCTTAGCCTAACAACCTTGGAATTAAATTCCCAACCTTCAGGATTTCTTTTTAAGACACGAACCTTACATTTGCACATTGTATAAGTCTGAACGAGCTGCATCGAGCCATAACTATAACCAAATCAACTAGCATATTACACAACTCGCATGCTCGTGGTACCATTCCTGATCATAGTAACTACTCTAAAACCAACCAAGTACTAGTATTAAACCCCATATCGAACCAAAGATCACCCCAAAAACTTCGTACATTGTTTATAATAAAAGAAACACGCAGAATCTCGTAACCCCTTATTAGATCAGCAAGTCATGAAGCTCTCTCGCCCCAACCAGAACTATAATCCCTTTCTTAGCCTACCTTTAATGTCATATTCCCAAATATACTGTAATCAAACATGACAGTACCCATTCTGGGTCCAATGGTCGTATATCATTAAACATAACTATCCCACAAACACGCCACATCGATATACTCAAGCCACAACTGCGCAATTCGTGTACCCAAATATGGGAGATATCTCAAGAAAGAGAATCGTATTGCAAGTTCAACAAGCACCATTACCACCGCAATGTTACAACCAACTCCTCAAATTTCGTGAAGAGGATAACTGTAGGCGCATATGCACAATTGTAGAGGAAGGAAATTAATAAATCAGATAAATTATCATGGAAATAGAATTTCCACACACTTCACGGATAACTCACGTACCAATAATATAAATCGCTCGACATGGTCACAAGCCTCCAGTCCCAGCATATCATACATGAGCAATTAAACCAGTACACTTGTATATGATAATGAAATAAGATTCTCATGCTCCTGGACTGGTATAAATAGCACGCCATAGTGTAAGCATGTGCAAAGTCTGGTATCACACTTCAAATCAGCAATTTTACGCAGAATTAGTAACTACCATGTTTATTTAGGGAATCATCTTCTTTGTAACCTCAAGTATAGCCCATATAGTTCTCAATAAGGTATGAATACGGGAAACGTTATAACTTCACACTTAACAGTCAACTCTAGGCATATTATAGCCTAATCATTCTTCCGAGTATGAATACTTGCTCTAATGCCCGTGCAATGGCTCAAACCTCACATATATGCGCACTCATAGCGCATAGCTATCACAAATAATTAACGCCACTAGCGCCTCCACCGTGTTTTAAATAAAATAGTCA